TTTAACAGTGGTGAAAAGTATCTTAAAAACAAATATTAAGGTTCTAATACATCATGCTATAAAAGAACATAATTTAAAGGCAAAGGCAAAGTGAAACTTTCAGTAAGCATTCGCTAGTAAAAGCCCTATAAAATGTTGTAGGTAGTAATTACTTGGGCTAAGATTAAGGGCACATAACAGTATTTTTAGGTGCATCTACACCCCACATACAAAGCACACAGCAGTCTAACTACAGTCAATCCAAATGGCGGGTTAATATACAAAGTCACCCTTAAAACACATCTTTGTTGAATATGTAAACTAAGATAGGTATGCAAAACCGAAATGGTATTTCCAAGTCATTATTTCTGTGTGAGCCAGACACGTGAACACTAACGCTCCCACTGCAGTGAGAGGTGGGATGTAGAATGCGTTTAGATTTCGGCCAGTTATTTATAAAGGAAATCTCTCACTTTTGGAAACTAAAAGAAGAAAAACACATACTGTCCCCAGAAGTATTGCATCTGGCAGCTGGAGGTTTATTCATTCCCAGTAGCTGAAGATCTTTAAATCATTCCAGGAGGAGACCTAGCTCTGGAGATTGAGGAGGCTCCTGTTCAGTTTGTGCTCAACCCATTTCTGTAGCAAAAGGAGCCTGGAGTCTGGGCTGAGCCAGGTGCCCGAGGCCAGGGTGTATTCTAGACTCACAGCGCTGCCTCCCTCTTCTCAGGTGTTTGTTTTTTTAAAAAAACAAATTAATCAAAATAGTGCATCTCCAGAATTGATTTTGTATTAGTCGAGATAAACCAGTGTCTCCAGCCATTCTGTGCATAGGTAACCACACCACAGACTGGGTAATTTGTAAAGAACAAAAATTAATTTTCCCACAGTCCTGGGGGCTAGGAAGTCCACGATCAAGGGCTGGCTCTGGTGAGGGGCTTCTCACTGCTTCATCACATGGCAGAGGTGGAAGGGCAAGAGGACACACCGAGAGAAGGGCTTTGGTCACGCTGTTAACCTTTTTGTGAGGGTGGAGCTCTCCAGACATGAAGGCTTCCTCTTAGGCCTCACCTCCCAACACCACCAACCTGGGGAGTATGTGTCTGGGGACACATAGCACTGGGTTGTGGTGTAATAACTAATCCCCAGACAAGCTCAGATTGTGCTCCAGGACCAGATTGTCTCCTGTGTGATTCTGCAGTCCAGGCCACTTGGCTGTGGTGACTCTGGCATCTCCTCAAGAGATCTCCTTGGTCTCCAGAGGAAAGAGGTTGGAGATCCTCAGCCCACTCTTCTGTGGCTGGTCCACAGGGACGGACAGTACGAGCCCACTGCTTACAGCCCACTGGCTGGACCTGGTCATATGGTCCCACCCAGAGAATAGGGGCTGGGAAATAGAAGCATGCGCGTGTCCTGAAAAGATAACGATATTGCTGAGTAACAGTAATGTTTACTGACACTTGTACAATCTTTGAGAAGGTTCCTCTGTTTCTCCTTGAGTTGGTGAGAGATTCTGGTCTCTAAACCGTAGGGCAGCCAATAGGACATGGGGCTCCTGCTGGGGAAAAGGCACTCGAGTCCCAGCAGAAGCCTGATGTGGAGCCTGCCATTTACACACCTTTTCAAACACAGCTGGCCAGAGTGACTAGTGTGCTCGATACCTCTGTAGCCAGGAAAAGGCTGGCACTGGGTGGTCTCTGAGCAGTGTATGATGTGTATGTTTTTACAAGAATAGCATATACAAGTCTTCTGTAAGCTACTTTTCTCAGTATCATGTGAAATGCTGGACTTATTTCTGAACACCTTTTAGTTGCTTTTCTTGTTGCTAAGACAATATCTGACACTCAAAGTTAAAGGAGAAAGTTTTATTTAGGTCACAGTTAACAGAGGCTTCAGTTCATAGTTGGTTGGCTCCAAGGCAGAGTGACACATGGCCGAGGGGCATTGCAGAGTAGAAACAGTTCATGGCAGGAAGGAGGCAGCAAAGCAGCAAAGTAGGAAGAAGTAGCAAGTGACAAGCAATCCCAGCAGCCCTCTTTCCTTTCCTTCTATTCATTCTGTCAAGGCTATTCGCCCTCCCAGGGAGGGCCTTCTCATTATCCCAGAACTATTCGAAACCAATCAGTGAACTGATTTAGTAATCACACACCCTTGACCCAAGTATCGCACACTCTAGATTCAGCCACCTCTGAGAAAGCCCTGCCTATGACTGCATGAGGTTTTGGGAGACATCTAGACCCAGCCATAACAACACGCATTAGATATTTTACCAGCATTGCACACTCCCCATGTCAGCACCAACCTTATCATCTCTAATCTACCCTTAACCCCAATTTAGGTGTGATTTCTTCCCTTAATAACTTATTCCCCAACACTTGTTGGGTGAAGACAAATGAGCAGACATGTTCTCTTTTCCTTAGCCTTCTTTGTTAGTCACCTTGGCATTGCTGTGATGAAATACTCAGGAAGATCAACTTAAAGATGGAAAGGTTTATTTTGGCTCAAGGCTTTAACCTGTGGTTGGGGCTGCACTGCCATGGGCCTGAGGTGGGGCAGATATGGTGACAGCTGGGACATGTGGAGGGGAAGGCTGCTCACCTTAGGGAAGCAGGAAGCAACAAGAGAGAGAGAGGGAGGGGAAGGACAAGAGAACTTTCAAACACACTCCCCCAGCGACCTCCAGCTGGGCCCTGGCTCCTACTGAGCTCATTCCACTGGAAATTCATCAGTTGGCTACCCATTGATTAATCCACTGATGATGCAAGTTCCCTCCAGACCTAGACACCTCTGAAGCCTCTGAGCACTGCTGCTTTGAGCATCTAGCCTTCCATACAGTAGTGCTTGGGGGATGCTTCATATTTAAACCGTAGCACCTTGTCATGTTCAGTTGGTCTCTTCATCATTCATCCAGCAAAGACTTGCTTATGGAGACGAGAGTCTTGCTTTGTTGAGCAGGTTGGCCTCAAACTCCTGGGCTCAAGAAATCTTCTTGCCTCAGCCTCCTCAGTAGCTGGGACTAAGGCGCACACCTCTGCATCCACATGAAATATTTACTCCGCCTGTCCATCTGCCCTGTATGCAGCCTGTGCATGCGCCTATGGTCTGTCCAGTGAAATGGAGCTTCATTACAGGCTGACTTTGTGTTTGCTCTGGGTGCACCCAGGTGAGTAGCCCTTTCCCCCATGGTGTTAATATCCCAGAGAGGGACATACACAACATGCAGGAGATTAGTACACGATTGCTGCTCAGTGGTGCATCTGCCCCGGCTCACTCAGGCAGGATCCTGTGTCTTGCTGAATGCTGGGCACAGGTGGCCTCTGTTCCTGGCTACCTCCACCTCCCCAGTGGGGCTGCTGGCAGCTCTGCACCACCAGTGGTACCACAGCAGCCAGGGAGGAGGGAGGCCATGGCCCTGTGTGATCTAATCTCTGAAGTGAGGTCCTCACTCTGGAGATTCTGTTTCTTAGCACAAGTCTAAAGTCCTGCCCACATCCCAGGAGAGGGGAGACCACATGGGCACGGGGGACGGGAAGTGGAGCTCACAATTGTAATACTGCAAAAGCGGGGACTGTGTGACAGGGAGAAGCCCTTACTGCGTCATGAGAAGCTGGCTATTCTGATTTTCACCAAACTTGGACAGCATGTTAGAAAAACTTGACTTTGTAATTTATGTGAGGACAGTTAGGGGTTCTCGGTGTGTCAAATATGGGCCTCAAAAGGAAAGCAACAAGTGTACCAGTCAGGGATAAACCTATTTCTGAAGAGAAAGGGCCTGTCTCCCGGTTCTGGGAGCTTCAGCCCACAGTAGAGCAGATCCGTCGCTTTTAGACCTCTGGTAGTGGGGGGAGGTGTGCGTCATGGTGGGAGGGTGTGGAGCACAAAATCACTCACCTCATGGCTGGGATGAGAAACAGAGAGAGGAAGAGGAAGGGGAAGGGGGTGGGGAAGGGAAATGGGAAGGGCTGGGAACCCACTAGCCTCTTCAAGGGCGTGCCTCTCTGGGTTGAAGACCTCCCGGGCCACCTGCCAGTAGTGCCAAGCTGGGGAGTGAGCCTTTGATGTACAAGTCTTTGGAGCACATGCTAGATCCAAACTGGAGCAACAAGGAAAGGTCCTGGTTTGCAGTAGAGCTGTTTGCCAATAGGCCACTTCATGTTTATTATGAAAGACAGCCAAGATTCTCCAGAGCGATGGTAGAAATTAGAGGAGAGCTAGATCCAAATATGTTGATGTTTTGTGGCAAATGTTATGGTGCAGAACAGAATCCCTCTGTCAACCCTCGCACTTTGGATTCCTTTCATACCAGTTTTGTAGTAGGCAGAATTATGGGCTCCCAAAGTGGTCAATATCCTAAGCCTTGGAACTTGTAAGTATGTTAGGCTGCGTGGTGTCTTCATCCATCTGTGCTGCTATGAGAAAATGCCACCGAATGGGACATTTATAAACACTAGAAATTGATTTCTCACAGTTCTGGAGTCTGGGAAGTCCAAGACCAAAGTGCCAGCAATTATAATGTTTGGTGAGGACTGCGACCTGCTTCGGAGAAGGAGCCTTGTTGCCGTGTTCTTTAGACTGCCATCCTTACATCACCAAGGGGCAGAGGAGGATGAACCCACCCCCTCAAGCCCTTTTATGTGGCCCTATTTCCGTCCATAGAGCCAGTACCCTCGCGGCTTAATAACTTGTGAGGCTCCCCTTCAAACTGCCGCGCTGGTGAGGAGGCCTCAACATACGAATTGTGGAGGACACATTTAGAGCGCAGCTCACGTGGACAGACTTGCTATGAGAGGAGGAGAGGACCCTGGATTATCTAGAAGGCCCAAGGTCACAAGGGTCCTTACAGGCAGAATATGGAGATTTGCTGCTGGCTTTGAGGAGAGAGGAGGGAGGCCCACACCAAGCAACACAAGCAGGAAAGTCACGGAGACAGACTTGTCCCCGAGTCCCCAGGAAGGGATATACTTCTGCTAACATCTTGGTCTTCGCCAAGCAAGGCCCATTTTGGATGTTCAGCCTCTAGAATGGAAGATAAGTGTGTGTTTACAACCACTAAGTCTCCTTTCGGCCAGAACCGCCATCTTCCAGTAATTTGCCAAAAGACGAACGCAAAGGGAAAGAGGAGGGGAACCCAGTGTGTGTTCTCGAGGCCTTTCAGAAAACTTGGGGTTGCTCCTTTGGCCGCGTACATGGGATCTACAGAAAAGGGTGCTATTGCAGACATCAAGGGCATGGGTACTGTTCAAAAAGGAATCCCACACAAATGTTACCGTGGCGGGACCGGAAGAGTCTACAGTGTTACCCAGCACGCTGTTGGCATTGTTGTAAACAAGCACGTTAAGGGCAAGACACTTGCCAAGAGGGTTAATGTGCATATCGAGCATATTAAACACTCAATGAGTCGAGATAGCTTCCTGAAATGTGTCCAGGAAAATGATCAGAAAAAGAAGGAAGCCACAGAGAAAGGGACCTGGGCTCAGCTGAAGCGCCAGCCCGCCCCGCCCAGAGAAGCACACTTCCTGAGCACCAAGGGGAAGGAGGCTGAGTTGTTGGAACCTGTTCCCTATGGATTCACGGCATAAGCTGGGCGTGTAGCTCTGCCATGAAGCTCCTAATTAGCAGCTGAGTGCCCAAGTCCAATTTAAAAAATAAAAAATCATCCTGTGTTGTAAGGATGGTTTTCTTCATTGAACAGGTGTGTGGTGCCTTTACCTCAGAGAAACAATATTTGGAGCAGATTCTCATTATACCCAGTTAATTGTGTCAGGTCTTTACTCTTCAGGGTTTTCTCACTGAAAGATGTGAGGTATTGAGCAAATGTATACCCAAATGGCCACATATTTATGAAATATTTATATTGGCTTTTATATTATATTTGGGACAAGATGTATCAAAATATATACATATATTTTTAATTTTCCCCCTTAAGTTTATTGGTACATTTAAAACAAACAATAGTTATTTATCACTGGGGTCTTATATCTTTACATAATATGTCTTGGTTCTTATTTTCCCCAGACCCATTCCTTATTTAGAATGGCCATTCTTTCCTTTTTTCACATTTTTTCTTTTCCCTTCTTTCCCCTCCCCTCCCCTGTCCTTCCCACTTCCCCTTTACCCATTTTCTTCCTATTTCGCACTATCAATTAATGCCATTTGAGCCTTATTTACACTTAGTTTTAAGATGTATCAAAATAAATGGAAGTCAATATATGGGATTTCAGTTAAATAGTTTAAAGCAAAAAAGTAAAAATAAAACCACTAAGTTTGTGATAGTTATAACAGTAATAGGAAATAAATAAACCACTGTGAAGAATGGTGAAGTATCTGAGACTATAACCTGCTTTCAAACTAACCAGTTAGCCTGTTACAGGTTCATGGATGTTGGTAGATGTTAAGAGTCTACCGGGTCAGAGACAAACAGCAATTCTGCGCACACAGCAATGGCAGCAGCTATCGCAGTAGCGTTTACACAAGTTAATGGCACCCAGATTCCTAGAAGGTGATAAGGAAAGGGCCAGAGGCACCTGCAGACACACAGGTTGTGATGCAGAAAAGGAATCCTGAGCAGACAGGATCCCCAAAGCCTTCGGTAAGCATGCCTGCCTTCTCATCCCAAAGGGCGTACTACAGACAGTCTCTGACTTGTGTGATTTGACGTGATGATTTTTCAGCTCTACAAGGCTGTGAACATGTGCGTGCCCTCACGGTCATCCTGCCTTCCCCTTTTCAGTATAGAGCTCAATAAATTCTATGAGATGTGTGATACTTTATTGTGAAGTAGGCTCTGCTGGGCGGCTTTGCCCAAATGTAGGCTGGAACTGCTCTGAGCTTGTTTGAGGCAGGCTAGGCTAAGGGCCCGCATTCTGTAGGTATGGGTGGTACTAACACACTTTCTACTGACTGGTGTTTCCAGCTTCTGGTAGGTTCGCTGGGATGAAATCTCATTGTCAGCTGGGGAGCACCAGCGTGTCTTCCAAAGCTGTAAAGCAAGCCTGTGTTCTGCCCTCGAAGTTTCCTGTCTTTCTGTTTGTCGAGGCTGGTCGCTATGTGAATATTATTGCACATAATTCAAAGAAAGTGACACCAAAGTTGCCTCAAATTGGATGATCAGGTTGGATGTGTGGAGACGGTCTAGCCCTGGGGACAGTTCCTCACTGCAGAGAGAGCTGAAAAGTGTATTTCTCATTTTTAGGTGGGCTTATTTCCCAAGTTTGATTTCTATGTAGAATAAGTGTTGAGAGCCAACTATCCAATCATTTTTAGTATAATCAGAAAGAGTTCGTTTACCCAGACCTTCAGGAGATAGTATCTTAATTAGATTTTATTTCTAAAGGCATAATAAGAGTCAAAGAGGGTTTCAGCTGGGCCCTTTCACAGCCCACAGAAGTCTGAAATAATGCAAAACCCAGAAAGCTGGATGGCAACTGCACACACAAAAGGTGCTGTGTGGAGTGAGGCTGAGACAGAAAATGGACTCTGTCATATAAAATGTACTTGTGTAGCTTGCCTTGAATCCACGAAAAACATAAAAAGGGGCACACAGATGCACGATCTATTTTTCTGTAGAGTTTCCTTTACTGTGTGCTGGGGATTGAGCCCAGGGCCATGTGCGTGCTAGGCTTGTACTGTACCATTGAGCTACACCCCTTGTCCCTTTCCCATAAAGCTCTGCAGCCGATGAGCATTCAGCATTTTAGCAACTTTTTTCTACAAATTTATCTCCTTGATGATTTAAACTTTTTATTTTTATTGAGGTATGAGTGACAAGCATTTATGTATTTGAGGTTCCAAATATGATGTTATGATAGGTGTGTAACTGTGACATGATTACAGCCAAATTATATAAATATATTCACCACTTCACAGTCGCCTCTGCCCGTGTGTGTGCACTGAGAGGACCTAAGAGCGACTCTCAGCAAATTTCAAGGATGCAGTACGGCATGATGAACCGCGGTCATCGTGTGTACATTCGATTTCCAGAACTTGCTCATCTTCAAACTGAAAGTGTATTCACATCCTTTAAAGAACGTCCCCGTTCTCCCGACTCCCTGTTCCTAGTGACATTGTTTCACTCTGAGTTTGACTTTTTAAGATTCCACAGATGAGATCATGAAGTAATGTCTTCCCGTTCTTGGCTTATTTCACTTAATGTAGCATCCTCTGGGTCTGTCTCCGTTGATGCAAATGGCAGGCTTTCCCTGTTTTTAAAAGGCTAAACAATAACGCGTTTTCACTGCGTTTCCTCAATCGGGCAGGGAATGGACGTGTGGGTTGATTCTGCCTTGGATGCTGCGAACAGAGCACTGAGCGTGTACAGGAGTGCGGACGTCACCCGGCGTTGCTGGCTTTGTGTCCTTTGCACCCGTATTCTCTAGCAGGATTGCTGGCCATACGTAGATACAGTGTGCTTTCTGAGGAAGCCCCGCACTCCTTGCCTTGATGTCTGCACTAATGCACGCTCCCAACCGTAGTGTGCATGCGTTCGCTTTTCTCCACACCTTGGCCAACACTCACCCTTCGCGTTTGTGATTACAGCCATTCTAACAGTGCAGGCCGATGACTCAGTCGTTTTGACTTGCGTTTCCCTGATGATTAGTGATGTTGCCCATCTTTTCACAGACTTGTTAGCCTCGTGGTTTTCCTTCCTCAGAAAAATGTCTACTCGCTCCTTCGTCCATTTCAAAGGCAATTGTCGTTTGCTGTTGGCTCATATGAATTCCTTGTATCTCTTGGATGTTAACCCTCGATTGCACGTAAGGTTTGCAAACATCTTCCCCGCTTCTGTAGGTTCTTTCCCTTTGCTGATTGCTTGCTGTGTAGAATAAAATGCTTTTTCAAAGCAAGTTAAAAGTTCTCTCTACTTGGTTAAGAAATCAATACTTTGGAAGTTAAATGGCTGCAGCAAAAACAAAGGCAAGGTAACGATCAGGAAGTTTGATCTGCAGTCTTCCATGTCTTCATTGCCCCAGTACTTTGTTTAATTGCAGAAAAAGCACAAGAAGAGTGGTTTGGCTTAAAGGCTGCCTCAGTTGAGTTAGACTACTTCAAATCACTTCAGTTTTCGTCAGTCAAACCACTTTTCGCCTCCACTGTCTAATGTAATCTTTTAAAACAACTCCTAGAAAAAGATAACTTTCCCAAGACCCCGAGGCCCCGAAGCACTGACCTTTCCACTGAGACCACGCCAGAAAGATCAGGTGATGATTTCCCGGGGGCTTCTATTCTGCCGTTCTTGGCAAATGAACTCATTAGTGCAGTTCCTCACTCTTTGTAGGACTGCCACTGCCGGATTTAAACTGTTATTCAAACTTGTGCCGGCACCGTGCGCATGGCGGATACTTATGTGGCTGATGGGACAAGCACGGGTTCTGGCTATGTGAAGTTCAGTTCCTGCCGATGCCTCTTGCTGGCCTCTCGCCTCCTTGTAATGCAGGGATCATGATGTCTTCCTCAGGGCGCTGACTGATTCCTGCGTCATGTGTGAGCGCTGCTCACTGACCGCCTGGCTGTTCCGGGCTCAGCCGACCCTGTCCTCACTGGACTGTGAGCAGCTCAGGGGAAGACACCCCACCTCTCTTGCTGTTGTCCCTAGCAGGTAGCACCATGCCTGGCCAAAGGGCCCGATAAACACATACCTTGTGACTGCAGCCAGCTGGTGCCAGGAGGTGCTCCCTCTGCACACTTCCTTTCTGTCTGGCTTCTGGGGCAATGGGATCAGTGGTGGCATCAGTTTGAATCTACAGGAAGTTCAGGTCACCCATGCCTGTCATTTTCACTTCCTAAAACTGACATTTCTGTGAAATATATTATGCAAGATAGAAATTGTGAGTAGCCACTCCCTTGGGCACCAGCTCCTGACACAGTGCCCTGGCTCGGATAAGCAACTTCCTGAGGTTTGTACAGAGCAAATCTTTCCGTGTGTCCCTGTGTGCAGAGCTGTGCCTTGTCCTGGGAAAAGACAGGGCTACCCTTGGACCTAGCAAGCCACCAGCCGTGTTCTCTGTCCTCTGAGAGGAAAGTAACCCTTTACTGTTAGGCTCGCAGACCGGGCCGAGAGCCCTCCCTTAACAAAGAGGCAAAACTCCCATCCTAAGCGGTTCCATTAACTGGCTCACTCTGTGCCCTATTTTGGGCTATTCCACTTTTCCGTACACTACTTCTGTGTCTGAGGGGACTCCTGAGCCCTCCCAGTTCCTCCTGAATACTTTCCCCTTTGTGTCCCCGTGAGCCTGTGTGAGGCAATGGCCTTTGCCTGAGCTACGCCATGGATACCTCCACTTCCTGAGGAAAATTGAGCTCATCTGGTTGGTGAGAACAGTGTGACTGGCCCCATTCATATAAAATGTGAATGCATGAAGTCCAGTACTATTCATAAATTTATTTTTTGGCACTGAGAGTAGAATCCAGGGCCTTTGCTCTGAGCTACATACTTGGGCACTTATTTATTTATTTATGAAACCGAGTCTCTCCAAGTTGCCCAGGCTGGGCTCAAACTTGGCAGTTCTCCTACCTTAGCCTCCCAGAATGCTGGGATCATAGGCATGGGCCACCATACCTGGCTTACTTTTTTTTTTGTACC